GCTAGCTTATATCATATAACAGTCAAACCGATCTAACAGATCACTAATCATGGTAACATCCCAATAACTGGGATACAGATCTAACCGGTCACTAACATAGAATCATCCTATAACCAGGACACTGACCTAACCAGGCCACTGAGCATAAGCATATCACCATCCTAACTACCAGGATGTAATCAATAAACATATCATGCCATAACCGGATACAATCCATAAAGGTCCGACCTTGGTGCCTTAGACCCTATTGATATAGTGAGGATAACTCACCTGGCACTGCTGAAGTCCCGCAGATAAAACTCTAGCTGCTGGTTGACAGATTCCCGAGCTGTCAACATCAAACAATACCCAATTAATAATTGGATTCCAAGCCCAATGTCCAACTCATACTCCAAAGGCCCAAAAGTCAAGTAATGGGCCAAAGTCCAATATATGGCCCAATTTTCCAAATTGGGCCCATACCTCTACATGGTCTTTCCTTAAGGCCCATCCAATTATTCTAGTCCAACTCTTGGTATTCCCATGGCCCCATATCATATAACCATAAAGGCCCAAATATGGCCCGATTTTCCAAATTGGGCCCAAGCCCTCACATATGGGCCTTACCTTAAAGCCCATCTAAATATTCTAGTTCATATGATTATTCTTGGATGGCCCACCAATAACCCAATCATCAAAGGCCTAATAGAAAGGACCAACAATAAACCCAAGTGAAATTAGGGTTTCACATAATGGGTTAAGTGTTTCTCACTTAACCCATTAAGGACTTAATACATTAAGTCCATCACTATTCTAAATAAATCATATGGTGTGATTGGGCTTAATACAAAATTCCATTCCAATGACCCAAATGTTGGTCCCGATAAGTCCAAGTCCATACATCCAATATTAGGGTTTTTCTAAACCCTAATTAGGGCTTCCAACCCCATCTTAGCCCAATAGGCCCAATAGCTAGGTCTTTTGATTAATTAGGGTTCATTAGGCCCATTAGTCACATGTTTGGGCTTTTAGGTCAATTAGGGCTTCATTGGACCCGTTAGGGTTTATTAGTCCGTTTGTCCAACATCCCAAACGAGTCACAATACAAACGAGGCACACCGCCACCCGACACGACGGCCGGTGGCGGCAGTCACCACCATACGGTGGTGGTTTTAAGCTTTCTTTTATTATTCCACTTTCTAATTACACTGTACAAATCTTTAATCCCCAAAATAAACACACACTTAAGAGAATAAGCACACACACAGCCACCTGGTGGTGGCCGGCGGTGGTAGATGGTGGCAGCCATCACCTCACGGTGGTGGTGGTGGCCTTCATGGCTTTCCGACCACACCAAAACACACACACGCCCTCATAACAGAAATGCACACGCTAAGCACGACTTTTGCTCAGAATTGAACTCGACCACCCACCTCACGGTGGCGTACGGAGGCGACAACACGATAACGACCACCATGGTGGGCCGCCATGGTGGATCCTATGATGTTTCCGGCCAAAAGAGAGCATCCACATTTTCATCCGGCTAGCAGAAACCACCCGCCTGAACAAGGTCGCTGAAAGCGCATCCACGCAGCCACGACTGGTGGCAGACGGCAATCGGAGCGCTGAAGGAGATGGTCGCCTAGAGCTGTGGTGGCGACGTGTGTAGCTGAGCATAGCGAGCGGGCAAACGGAGAGAAAATGAGACTGAAGGCGACGGTAGCGGCACTCACGAAGACTAATGGCGGGCAGCAACAGCGTCCATCGGCGGCGACGAAGTGAAGGCAGCGATCGATTGTGGTTTTTCCGGCAGCAGGTTCGTGGTTGGCTTTGGTGGCTGAACGACTCCATATCGGCGACTGGTGAGGTCACGGGTGGTGGCTCAACATCTTAAGTGGCAACACTGTGGCGGTATCCGGTGGTTGACAACCTCAACGGAGGTGGTGGTGCATCACCGGAGGTCGAGTAGGTGGGAGTGGCGGCTGGAGGTTTCACATGGCAGCTGAAGATGTTCCTTTAGGTTTAGGGTTTGATAACCGGCGAAGCTTAGGATATATACCCGGTCCCCAAAACCAATTTCCATAATGCCAAGAATAGCCCCTCTCCATACAAATCTTTTCAAAACAGATCTCATATTTACCCAATACACCCCTATTCTTGTAATTCTTTTCATAATCAATCCAACAGTTACCAAACAGCCCCTCCTCTACAATTATTTTCAAATAAGGTCCATAAGTTACCATTTAGTCCCCGCCTTCAATAACACTTACAAATTAAGTCCGGATTTTACACTTTTAACCCCTAATATCTAAAATTACGACAATTAGCTCCTCGAACCCAACACCATGCTATATAATTATGGATTTCAGGGCCACAATTTACATTAATTTTATCTATTTATTTATTTCCTAAACGAGGTGTTACAGTGAGTGAAACCATTGAGTTTAGGAGATGACTCAGTGAGTTGGACAAGATTAGGACTCGGAAGTTGAAGAACTGGACGAGTTCAAGGAAGGACTCGACGAGTTAGAGTCGATATGTCCCGATATTATGACAGGAAAAACTCAACGAGTCTGGGAAGGGACTCGACGAGTTGACTACGAGGCTGAGTAGTGCATGAACTCGCCAAGTTGGGGTTGACTGAGAGTTGACTTTGACTTTGACCTGGATGTTGACTTTGACCAGGGTAAAATAGTCAAGGATTATCAGATTTTGATTAAGTGTATTATGTAGTTGTTAGCCGGGGAGTTGTCAGAGCAGTAGTTAGAGATTCTTCACTCGAGTTTCAGCAGTCAGCCTTACGAGGTGAGTTTCCATTTAGTAGGAACGGGTCTAAGGCACCAAGTCCGGCCCGTAGTATGATATGTTAGTAGCCGAGTATGGGCGGGGACCGTATCTCACAGTTTAGTTCGATTATGGATATATGCCTAACTGATAGAACTAGTTATACATGTTGTCTGTGTGATACCTTTATGTTTGTTTAGTAGCTAAGTGTGGGTGGGGACCGTATCTCATAACAGTTGAGTGTGGGCGGGGCCCGTATCTCAAAGTAGTTGGGCGGGGCCCGTATCTCCTAGTTAGCGGAGTGTGGGCGGGGCCCGTATCTCTTAGTTGCATGTTGTATGTGTATGGTATGTGGTAGTTTGGGGAGCTCACTAAGCTTCGTGCTTACGGTTTTCAGTTTTAGTTTCAGGTACTTCCACTAGCAAAAAGAAGGGCTCGGGATGATCGCATGACACACACCACAATCTTTAGCCTGAGAGTTTTACTGTGATATTTTGATATGTGACAGATATTATGATAATTTATGATACATGATACATAATTTTATTTATGTTTATGAATGATTTATGGTCTTAATAATGATTTGAAAACGAAAATTTTGGACCGTATTTTTGGGATGTTTCAATATATGTGTATATATATATATATATATATATATATATATATATATATATTATATATATATATATATATATATATATATATATGCACACACACACATACTTTATACAAAATACTTTAGTTATTTTCATTTTTTATTTACTCTAATATATTCATACATTTTATACATTTTGTATATTTTTTAGTTTTTTTAATATTTTTTTTCATATTATATTTTAATTTTTTTTATATTTTTAATTTTTTTAATTTTTTTTCGTATTATTTGTTTTCATTTTTTTGTATTTTTAACTTTTTCTCGACCTTTTTCAAAAAATATAAAATTTGTTAATATATTAGAGTATGTTACAATTTTGGTAATTAATAGTTTTTGTAATTTTTTTACTTTTATTAAAGTAAATAAAAAGTTATATTTATATTTGTAATTTTGGTCCAACTTATTATTTTTTTTTTGTTCTTTAGTGTTATTATATTTATGTTACGAAAAAAAGGAAATTAAAAAAAACAAAAAACTTGTTTATTGACGATTAATATTTCAATGTATGATATAACTTGCAAATTAAATCATATTTCTATATGTGATATCAATAGTTTAAATTCAAGATAATATTTTTCAATTTGATAATAGACTAAAGAAAAAAACAAAAGAAATAATAATAGTCGGTCTCTATAAAAAAAATAAATTGACTGATTTTGCAAAAAAGATAAAAGAGTTAACCATAAACTCGTTAAGTGAGCTAGAGTGATAATTTTACGAAAAAATTGTGACATAACAATAATAGAAAAAAATGTTACCACTTTTTATGGCATGAATCCATTTATTTTTATCATAAATCTACAATTTTTTTTTGACCACGAGTGATTCAAAAATGGAATATTAGGAAACCAATCAATAAGAATCAATTTATATATAGTTACCAAAATCAACATCTAAGAAATCTTAATACTTTATAGTTTATACATACATCCATTCTTTATATATCCTACTTTTTTTTAAATTTGTTTTAACCTTGAATTTAAGGAGTCTTACACTTTATCGTCGTGTTAGTCTCATCTTTTCTGACCACCGCCTTCCACCTCGGTTGTCAGCCACCGGCAGGGATTCAGAATGGGGATACTGGGAAAAATCCTTCTCCTCCTTTTATTCATCTTCACTGCACCCGCGCATAAGTTTCAATTTAATAACGCCACACTAAAATCACCATCCAATAACCGACATATGACCCTCGATCAGGTTACTACCACTACTAGAAAAAAGAGCATTACCGACAGCAAAAACCGTCGGTAATCCGTCGGTAATGCTCTTTACCGACGGAATTGTAACACACCAAAATCCGTCGGTATATTCTTGTCGCTAATTGTTTGTAACGGATTCCGACAGCTATGGCTAATTTTTAGTGACGGATTTTTCCGTCGGAAATAGTAACAGATCACCAACGGAATATATTTTGCAACAGATTACCGACGGAATTTGTTTGCAACGGATTACCGACGGAAAATTTTACTAACAGATTACCAACGGAATCTGAAATAACTTACTAACAGATTACCGACGGAATTTGGAATAACTTACTAATAGATTACTGACAGAATCTCAAAATGACTACAATTGTTTTTGTGACAGATTAGCGACGGATTTTGGCATTATTAAAAAAATTACAAATTAATGAAGAAATTAAAAACTAAAAATAATTACATATTCAACACATAAATTTTTTAAACATACATCAAATCTATATTTTAAAACCAACAAATATAAAAATATATCCATAAATTTCAATCATTTGACATACATTAAATCTATAAATTTCAATCCATATTATCAAATATTGTCAACAACCAATAGAGAATTTCTTCTTGATTAGCTCGTGATTCCACACCTATCATTGAGAGTTGTTAGCTAGAGAAATATTTATATGTTGTCAAATACCATAAATGTCCTCCAATGTTGACAATAAAGGGAAATAAAAAAGTAAAAATGAATGATATTAACAAGTAGCAATTATGACAACATGGGCCCATGGTATTAGATGTTAGATGAAAAATGTAGATTTCTGTGAAATTTTTTTTTTAAAAAAAATTGATCAGCAAATTCTGTGAAGACCCTATTTTTTATATGATACTTGATACAAGAAAAATCACTGAAAATTACACATGGGTTTACTTTGGTGAATGCAATCAAGCATATTTCTGTCAAGTAATAGGAATGCACTTTCATTTTATAAAATATTCCAAAATGTGATAATTGTTATATATAATATATTTCAGTGTATACATGACAAAAAGAGAAAGAGAAAGAAGTAAGTAAAGATATTTGACCTGTTTATTATTAAATGTTTTATTTCCATTTATCCTTGATGCAATCTCAAGAAAATCTTTATCTTCTGATTCATGAAAAACTTGAAGATTGTGACCAGAAAATGAAACAGTTCAGTCTCTTTTGCACCTCTGAGATAGCTGATCCGTCCATGCTGTTTTCCTGAAATGATGTTTTGCAAATTAAGAAAGGGCAAAATGGTCATTTTGGCTTATGCAGACAGTTTGGCTTATTTACTCTAAAAAAGTAAATAGAAAAACATCATTAAAGTGAAAGAAAAATCAAAAAATTTATGTATGCAATCAAAATAAAAGGGTAAATGTAATTTAAATAAAAAAGTAACATTAATTCATATTAGGGACAATTTTGTCATTTTATTTTTTACAATACAATAGATTGATACACGAAGAAAGATTAGAAGTATAAAGATGGGAAAATATTTTATTTATCATGTTCCATATACTCACATGCACGAAAACATCCATATCATTGCATAGAAAAATAAAATTATGAATAAGTTAAGATAAAATAATCGACAACACTCTACATAAGATATCGACATACCTTCTCCAGGGGTATTTATCTCAATGGAAGTTGAAGCAAAAGACCCTTGTCATGGATAATTAATTCCTCCTGCGACAAACATCAGACAAAAACAAATGAAAAAAAAAACATTAAACCCAAATTTAGTTACTAAAATTGTATCACTTCCCTTGAAATAATTTTAAATTTACCAAACTACCCTTCACCATATGCAACATAGCAATAGCAAGAGGGACAAAAACACACCAAAGTCATTAAGAATCCTGATGCAGTAGAGAGTCATATAAATACCAAGAGGGACAAAAACGTAAGACATCATATAAATTAGAGTAAAATCCCTAAAATTAAACTTTCTATTTGGATTTGACAGTTATCAGCATTGGGGTCATTGTGGAAGCGGTATACTTCTGATGTTCATCCCATGAAGTGGAAGTTTCTTGTATTTAAATAAATGCTAATTTTTTTTTAATTATATCAGTAAAAGAGGTAAAATACGTTGTTGTTTCCTGTTATTCTTTCTTACCATTTACCATTTTATCTCCCAATAAACTCAATTCTCAGTACATTAAGTTTATGGGACCCACAATCTCAGTTCTCCTTAAATCAAATAAACGGTACCCATATTCACATATTCATTTATATTACACATTCTTCATTTTGTGGGCCTAAAAGACTAGAATATATACCACATCTAACCCTGCTATTGCTGCTACTGTTATATGAAGGGACAACTGCTACAATTGAAAATGATGATGAAATGCTTGATTGATTTCATTGACTAAATGGTTGTTTCTTTTGACTTAATACAAAAAGGAAGACTTAATAGATACGGAGATCAGGCTTTTCCCATTAAGTTCCAAGTTTTTTTATTTTTTAAAATAAATTTTCACTCTTTCAGGCCAATAAGAGCAAATCAACAAAGGGAAATCAATGATCGTTATTAGGTAAATTGTTTTTACTTGATTTTTTCATGGTTTTTTTTTTTTACTAAATGGATACTGCATTTGTTATCTTATAGTAGTTGAATTTATGTTCTGGGCTTTCTTATGACCATAATATCTCAGATAAAAAGGATATGGTACTACAAAGATGTACAAATATATGAAAGTGAAAACTGTGTTGATTTGGAAGTTTAGTAATAGAAAGATGTTGAATACCTTATAAGTTAAAAGTCTTTAGCTGGAAGTATACAACAATTTATAGTATTTTGGTATTTATTGCATTTCGGCCATTTTCTCATTGAAGTTCTTTTGGTTTGAAATGCTAATCAATGTAAACTAACACACACAACAAGAATTTAGAACACAGAATATACCTGGATTAAGAGCTGAAAGTATTTTGCTATTTCTCAATACACTTGGAGTATAGCAATTTTCAGTATCTCCACTATAAGAACACACAACAAGATATACCCAGATGTTTAGAATCACTCGGTTTGTCAATGAGAATATTCAAATTTAAAAAGAATAACAACAAAACATACCCATTAAGCACTGAATATAATTGCTCTGAGTTGCAAAAAAAAATGCCCATGCCTCAATTTAAGTGTCAAATGCCCATCTTCAAATATTTGATGCCTGTTATACAAAATAAAAGAAGAGCTTAATCAAGAATTGGTAATAACAGAAAGATTAAGCAATGATGAATTACAGGATGCTCGGAAAGAGTTGATTTCTGTGAGCTTTTTTCTTTCCTTCCAACATCTTTCTGCATCTATAATCATATGTTTATTAATTTATAATTAGTAATTAGCTTTTTATCCCTAATGTTTGAAACAGGGTATGAAGGAAATATCCATAATGTTTGCATCAATGTGGGAAGGTGTATCAACTGTATCAGAGGATTGAGAGAGCCCGATTGATTAAAAGGCTAGCTAAGATTAAGGAGGAACAGGGACAATATTCTTGAGTTACCTGATAAAATGGTGTTCAAGAGGAACCCTTCTGCTGACACAAAGAACCAAACATCATCCACTCCAACTCTGAAACGTAAAACATTTGAGGTTTTTTTCTTCTTTTATTACTTCTTTCATCATCAGTTGATTGTCTCTGAAACAAGTATTATAAAACATAAGCTTTCATATAATCAAATTTTGTAAATGATTAATCATGCAGGCATCTGCTGAAACATCAACATCAACTCCATCAAATTTTCATATAATCAGATTCATATCATGAAGTTCAGAACAGGACCACTGAAGAAATAAATGTATAAGACTATTTATCAACAAAATCAGATAGGATAGGTTATCTAATGCCTAATTTGGGATCTGATAATCCAATTTAGAAATAAATAAATAAACCTAGAACTCAATCTATGTAATAGAAAAAATAAGTTAGGGTTTTTTTTACCAAAACTTGGAGAAAAAAAAAGCTGAAATCGGATCAATTGATAAGGTCTACCAGCTACATCAGCAACTTCGACGATGGTGGTGGCGACAAGAGAGTGGCGACAGCAGTCGGAGGGAGAAGGTATGTTGCGTCGATGACTTCGGAGGAGCTGGAGGTCTTTGCTGCCGGCGGTGATGGCGGAGGCGACATCGTTGCCGGAGGAAGTGTCCGGCTGGTTGCAGATCGGAGGCAGAGCCGGCTGGTTGCAGTGGGAGATATCGTGTGAACTAGAAAGAACGAGAAGAGGAGAAGAGGGAAAATGAGAGTAGGGCAAAATCGACGTGTTTTCTTTTTGTTCTGACTTTAACATTCACTTATTTACCAAATTGCCCTAACTATTTAAAAAAAAAAAATTGGAATTCAGTAACGGATTTCCGACGGAATTTCAAATTTGTTGATTTCCGTCGGTAAACCGTCGTGTATAGTGTAACAGATTACCGACAAATTTTATTCTGTTGCCACACCGTTGCAAAAACGTCGCTAATATCCTAATAATTTGTCTGTCGGAAATCCATCGGAAATTCGTTGCTTTTTCCGACGGATTTTTTCCGTCGCTAAAATTTTGTCGCTATTACTCTATTTTCTAGTAGTGTACTAAACACTATTTACCACCCCAGCCACCGCACCTCCCGTTTGTTTACTTGGTTTTCTCCCTCGCTTATCTGTGTTTACTAGGGTTTTGGATCTCAGTATGCTTAAAAAACGGGCGATGTTTTCACAGGGTTCATTTAATTATGGGTGGGTTGCTTGTTACGACTTTCTTTCACCTTGTTATGTGTGCCTTGGCCGATAAGCATTACCTGGAGGTTTCATGTACTCCTCATGGATGGGATCTCTTGCTTTACATATTTCAGTTTATCAGGATTGTGCTTTTCTACTGCGTGATCATGTTGACAGGTAGCGGATGGTGTTTCTGGAAGCCTTCTTTTCAAGGAAGGGACAAGTTGGTTTTTATGACTGTAATCCTCATTCAGGTTATCATTAATGTAACCTTAATCTTGATAGGCGAAACTGTCTCTTATAGTTATATAGACCGGTTGAGTTGGATAGTAGTAATTATTTTGGCAGATTTTTTTTGTCGCTTTGCTGTTTTTGTCTCCTTTAAGTGGTCGCCGAGGGCTAGATTTGCAAGACCAGAATCATGGCTGGTGATGGGTATTGTATATTTTAACATATGGAGCATTCTTTTACGTCGAGGGCCTGACTATGCAGCTTACCAATGCCCGTGGGTGTTTAATATTGTGTTAGATGAAACCGTTAATCTTGTGCTCTGTATGGTGCTATTTTACATTTTCAGGCCATCTGAGAAAGACGAATGCATTGTTGATGAAAAGGCAGCCAAGATGAGTTTCGGGGATGATGTGGAGCTTGGGCTTTTAAATTCCATCTATTGATCAGTATGGTTTTTTGTTTTGTCGGTTAGGAGTTTTTCTAGAATTTGATGTTCTCGTTTTTTGATCATAACAATGGAATATATCAACAGTGTGTTAAAAATTTGGTATTTTCATATAATCTAATTATTTGTCATTAATGTGTTGTGGCTAGTTCAGATTTCAGAATATGATATGTTGGATGTGTTGTTGTTTTCTTGATTTCTTGTACAGAAGCATCTGCTCGGAGAAATAATTCATGTATGTTGATTATTTTAATGATTATTGTAAAAAAACAATTTATGTATATTGGTTATTTTAATGTTCAATATTGAAAAAACAATATATCAATATATCTTTATTTTTATTAATGGCAACCATAATTCATTGAACTTTATAAGTTTAATTAATGGATTGCTGCATAAGTTTAATTGATGGATTGCTGCATCAACCTCTAATTAAACATGTATATGTGCATCTTTATTTTTTAACATCCATAATTCATTATTTAAATGACCATCTTATTCTCCTCATTAAACTCAACTCCTCAAAACAATTCATTTCCATCACTCACACTCCATTAAACATATATTCACCATCTTATTCACCTCCTATAAAATTTACCTTGGATGCCCTTTAGCATGTGTAGTGTTAATGGATTAAGATATTCATTCAAGGTACTAATAATTGATTTTATTTTTATTATTGTAAATATTACATTTTTCAGCTTAAGAATATAGTATCATATGTACTGATTTGTTGGGTAAGATATAACATAATTTCAAGTCTAATTTAATATCTATGTTTTAATGATAAAAAAAATGATGGTAAAAGATGGTATCTGAATTTTATTGATACAAAATAATAAAAAATCATGTGTAAACCACTCCAAAAAATAATTACAACCGCACCAAAAAAATTCGCACTAAAAATATTGAACCGTACCAAAAAACAATTCGCACTAAAAAAATATTGAACCGCACCATTAATCTTTCCTCTAAAAATTACATTCGAATTTTTCATTTCACGCTAGATCCCTCCAAATTTCCATCTTTTATATAAAGTTGGATATGCAACCGTTTCTCATAATTATAGATCGGTCGATTCCATGTTTGAAAACGCATGTGAGGTATGTCCATTATTTATCTTTTTTTCATTAACGACATTTGTATCTCTATTTTTCTCTAATTAATTGTAAATGAATGTCCTATTTTAAGTTTTAATGATGTTTTCTTGTTCAAAATCTCTACAGATGCCTCTTCTTCCGTGAAAAAAAGATCCAAAGACTTATGATGTTTGATTGAGTGACTTTAAATCAACGGGCATGGAGCTAGTTTTTGCAAAGTGAGTTTTAAGATGTTAAAAAAGAAATTGAAAACAACATCGATGAAATGTGATTTCCCAATAATAAATTTTTAATTGGTAGAGAAAAAGAAATTGCAGAGATTGAAACCACCCCTTTTGGAGAAAAAGAAATTACGACTAAACCTTTGATTGAAAAACAATCACCGAACATACCTAAATACAAGAAAATGAAGCTTCATAATTAACATGGTGTACATCAATGGCAAACCGCTTAATTGGTGCGGTTTTAGCTAGCTATTTTTTGAGGCGGTTTTGACTATTTTTTGGTATGATTTTGGCTATTTCTTAGGCGGTTTTGGCTATTTTTGGTGCGATTTTGGCTATTTTTTTAGGCGGTTTTGACTATTTTTTGGTGCCATTTTGGCTATTTTTGAGGCGGTTTGACTATTTTTTGGTGCTGTTTTGGTATTAATCATTTTAACCGCATCAACAAATGTTTTCTATACTAGTATCAGAATATGATATGTTGAATACGTTGTTCTTTTCTTTATTTCTTGTACAACTGCTTCTGCTCGGAGAAGTAATTTATTTATGTTGATTATTTTAATGGTTATTGTAAAAAACAATTTATGTATATTGGTTATTTTAATGTTCAATATTGAAAAAACAATATATAAATATATGTTTATTTTTATTAATGGCAACCATAATTCATTGAACTTTATAAGTTCAATTAATGGTTTGCTGCATTAACCACTAATTAAACAAGTATATGTGCGGCTTTATTTTTTAACATCCATAATTCATAATTTAAATGACCATCTTATTCTTCTCATTAAACGTTTGCATGATTATTCAACTCCTCAAAACAATTCATTTATATCTTCCCACTCACACTCCATTAAACATATATTTACCATCTTAGGCCCTGTTTGAAATGCTTATGACCGAGTCAGGTCAGACATTTTTGGCTGACTCGGTCAGCTGAAGCTGTTTGGTAAACCTTCTGACTCGGAAATTGAAGTCTGACCCGGTAAGAAAGAAAGAATCGGCTGACTGAGAAAGGAAGACCCCGTGTTCCACTTGTGCCCTTGCTTGTGTATCCCTGTGAGTTTGCGCGTGTATCATATCCCAGCAGGAAGAATCGATCCAACACCCACTTTGCGTCTCGTCCTTAATAGACTCACATAATCGATCGATCCAACACCCCCTTTGCTTTCTTAAAATCAATCACACCCCACCAAGTTTTAATCATTTATATCTCTAGATCGATCGATGGACTCGAGGGACTGCCTCACCACTTTGGTTCGAATTTAATTGCAGGTATGTTTCCCCTTCTCATTTGCGTTTACATCTCCAACAACAGCAAGAAATCGGACACTACCCCTTCTTCTAAATCGATCACAGTTGCCGGTTGATTTTGGATTTAGACAATATGAAGAAATATTGAAGAAAAAGAAGGGGCGTGATATGCTGGTGAAAGTGGAGAACGAGATGGGCTTAACTTAAGGTATCCATTTTAATTTTTGAATATTTCTTCATATTATGCAAATGTCTTCTAAAACACGTTTTAATCGTTTTGTTTCATCACAAATCATGATTATAATATGTGTATTTGATAGCCTCCACTATAATCAGGCTCCGATTATGATTGTGAAAAACATCCAATTTGGTGGTCAAAAGTCAAAGTCTTAAGTTCACTGTATGGTTGATGTTGCTCTACAAATTTATCATGGATATCATAAATCTAATGTTGTAAGAAATAGGATATGATTGATAATTACTTAAAAATTTAACTTCGACATTTGTTCATATTGATGATTTCTAGAGTATATTATTCCTGGAGTTGACTTTTGTTGATGAATTGTACCATATGAGATGTTATATGATCGATCTTAAGAACAAAAAAAATAAAAGTATACTTTAATTGGTGTTAGGTGAAGCTCTCAGCTATATATTATAGATAAATATATATTATGTATGTTGGACATTTGTTGTTGCTATTGCATTTTTTTCGTATGTGTTTGGTTTGAAATCAAGTGTCTGATCAGATGTACAATCAAATTGCAGGGTAAAATGGTCATTTTTCATCAGTCAGCACATTCAGTCAAATGTACAATCAAACAACATGGTTTCTTACTCAGTCAGAATTTCTTTCCCAAACAGACATTTCCCAATCAGCACTTTCTCAGTCAGCAACTATCAAACGGGACCTTATTCACCTCCTATAAAATTTACATTTGATGCCCTATAGCATGTGTAGTGTTAATGGATTAAGATATCCATTCAAGGTACTAATAATTGATTTTATTTTTATTATTGTAAATATTACATTTTTCAGCTTAAGAATATAATATCATAAGGACTGATTTGTTGGGTAAAATATAACATAATTTCAAGTCTAATTTAATATCCATGTTTTACTGATAAAAAAAACGATGGTCAAAGATGGTATCTGAATTTTATTGATACAAAACAATAAGACATTATATTGATGATATTTGTTAATTACTGATTTCGTCAATAGAAGCAAATAAGTAACTTGGGTATGGAAATTAGTATACTGAATTGTCAAACATTGAGAAGAATGTAAATAAATGATTAGATCGATAACTAAACCTATAAAATTTTGAAA